AGACTTATGATGTTCTGAATATAATTTATGTATGAGAGTATTAAGTATTAGTTGATTCGAATGTACGATATTGTTCACTGTGTGTCTCGTGATGTAAAAGCGATTAGTCCATTTGAGAAATGACAAATACCGATAATTCTTTTTTGAAATAAAAACAAAGTCAAAAGTGAAACACCATTGGTTCATTGTCAACTGCTCATCATCTCTCAACACTTATGACATTACTACTGAAGTATACAATAAGGGGATTGTAAAAAAAAGTAACAGATTTTTGGTGACAAGACTTATCCATACCAGTTTACGTGACCAGTTTATCATGATCAATGTGAGTGTATCTTAATTTGCACATGAATAAGTTTTTATTTAACCTTGTCAAAAGGTCACTTTTCGTTTGCCATTCATCAGTCTGAACTCTGAATATTGGCAAACTTAAAAAGGTGTTGGACAAAGACAAATGTCATTTTTCACGGATCATAGTTAGGTTCGTGCCAAAAGTACATAAATGTATATGCATTTATTCAAATAGGTTTAATAGAATGTTATTTCATTGAGAGTTTATTACATTTATCTATGCATATGATCTTGCTGACATATACCATGCCTTTTACTATGTTGTAGGTTGTACCCACTGGCATGTAGCGGCCCTGATATCGATAAATTCTACACGCAATATAACCAGATTTTAGATGCTTGGTTAAAACTTTACACGAAAAAGCCTCGATATCCGGGCATTTACTCTTACACTGAACTGAAAATAGCATCGTCTAAACGTGCATGTCTTGGCTTCCGGGAAAGTTTATCAACATTTATACTCAATTGAAAGAGCAGTCGTGCTTATATCGTGTACCAGTTTGATTGTTTTATATGTGTGTGTATTTATAATATGATAGCCTAGTAATACCGTGTCGTTAGAACAAGTGCTAGATATCGAACTGATGACCTGAAATTAGATTATTGGACTGATCGCGCATCTGATATTAGATGATTAATTTGCATTGAATCTGATATTAACTTGCAACCCAATACCACAGTAAATACCAAGACTTTACATTAGAATGATAACACGGCCTCATATTCTAATTCATTATACGTCCATTGCAGGCCAAAAATGTTTCAATGTGGATATTGTAATGCACACGAGAATACATTCGATTCGTATATATTGATCATACATCAATTGAACATGGAGATTTTCCTGTACACTTTTCCCAAACATGTGGAATAGACTAGATGCGAGTAGAAATTATCTTGATTTATCCTATGCCAAGTAGGGTTTTAGGGAGATAAGTTGGTAAGATATATCCCGTATCCTGATTTTGAGGTTTCCATATCAAGAACCTCCATATCTCCCGTCATATCTCCCGCTTCGGTGCATATCTTCCCGCTTCGGGGCGTATCTTCCCGCTTCAAAAAAAGTGGAAATGCAATAAAATGACTTTGCATATGAATGATTTGTTTATTTTTTACACCTTGTACTACTGAAAACTCTACTTGGTATAGGATAAAGCAGTTATGTACGGTCGGTTTGGATATTGGGTTCATCCCTCGTGAGATATGCACATCTACTTTCTGTCCCTACGGTCCCTCAGGTAGATATGCATATCTCCCTCTGGAAAAACCCCATATCCAAAACCTCCCAGTACATAACCCTTATTTATCCCATGGTTACAAGGATATATATCGAATATCACGTGAAGATATAATTGATACGTGGATGAAGATATCATATTTTAGCAAACAATTCCCAAATCATCGAATATCACTTTTGAAACCATCGAATATCACTTATTGAAAGGTGATATTCGATGGTTTCAAAAGTGATATGCGATGGTTTCAAAGGTGATATTCGATGGTTTTGATTTTTTCAATTTTTTTTATTAATTCAGCAAAACGATTGTTTATATATTTATTATATATTTTTATTTTTTGGGATCTTGTTTTTACGGCGTTCGCATTAAATACACACCACTCTGTTACGTCACGTATATGACGTTCGTTGAATTATCGCAATCAAAATGTCAGACGAAATGGAATTTCCATTGCAATTTATCTGACTATTCAATGTTCACTGGATAATTCCCAATCGGATAAACGGACAAACCTATGGTTTTTCAAAAATATCACTTATATCCACTCATGGATATCAGTATCTTCACTCATTCGCTGCGCTCACTCGCGAAGATATCAATATCCACTCATGGATATAAGTGATATTTTTTCAGAGCCATAGGATATTCCTACATTATTCCATAGTTAGCATGATATCCATAGGATAACATGTCAAAATAAAAACGGTATTTTTGAAATCAGTGGTAAAATATGATATTTTTGGCAAATTTTCACTTAACCATAGCATACGGTGTTTTAGCCATGACATACGGCGCCGTATGCCATGGTTTATGGATTTTTGCTACTTCAGACTCAAAACGAGGCTAAGTGTCAATATCGCCGTATCGTTTGGAAAATACATTTTAAATCACTTAATTCCCGACGATTCTGATGATGACTTTAACTATGGAATATAAAGAACATCCTATGATTTACTCGTGATATGATTTTAATCCACTCATGGATGTTGATATCTGCACTCTCCCGCTACGCTCACTCGTGCAGATGTCATATCCATTCGTGGATAAAGATCATATCACTCATAAATCATAGGATATCCTCTATTTAAGATGTGATATTCGATAGTTTAAAAGTGATATTCGATGGTTTGTAAATTGTTTGCTAAAATATGATATCTTGATCCACATATCAAATATATCATCATGTGATATTCGATCTATATCCTCCTTGCAACCATGGGATAAAGCTTTACGTCCCGCTCCAAGCGGGCAGATATAGTATATCTGCCCGCTACGTCATAATCGCCGCTTGCATATTTGTTCATAATTTGTAACGTTCGCGGAATGACTGTAAACGGCAATGGAGAAAACACAGACAATCAGGGTCTGTTTGATAGTTAAAAAAGGAAAGAGCATCCACTTAATCAATAAAAAATTCGAGAAAATAAATATGGGAATATTTGAGAGAACATGAAAATCCGCCCACGGCCAAGAAAACAAAACTGGACATGAATATTCTAAAATGTTTCCACGATTTAACAATGTGAACCAGATGACCAAGATTGGTATGGGATAAACATATTATCCTATAGTCGCGGTTCAGGATATTGGGATTATCCCTTGGCCAATATATAGGGGTTATGCAATTGGAGGTTTTGGATACAGGGAATATCCCGAGGGATATACAATATATCTTCCCGAGAGACCGAAGGGACCAAGGGAAGATATATTATATATCCCTCGGGATATTCCCTGTATACAAAACCTCCAAGTGCATAACTGTTGTATATAGTTTACCATGATATGTACTTCTTTCTGTAACTGGAATACGATTCTAATATACAAGCAGCACATACGTATTCCCGGGGAACCATAAATATTTTGTGTAGGGTGTGGACATTTTTCTTTTCATTTCTCTAAAATCAGACTATTCTCATAAAATTCATACAAAGTTGGGCCTAAGCCTCTATTTTCGTATTCTGCATCTTAAGATATTTATAATGTAAAACCTAAGAGATAAATTCAATGTCTTCAGTTGAGAATAAGTGTAAGGTAAATGTGTGAATTCTGCTTGTTGTTGCACTATTTTTATAATAAACAAGGTTCGATACGCAACACTGAATAGACTGCAGTCATAGCTTAGTTGTAAAGAAAACAAAAGAAGTTGGGACGTGGTCATGCTTGAATACGATTTTAAATATATCGCCGTTTACATTTGTTGAAATCGGCCTGTATTGATTTCAACAGGTGATCGGTGTACAAGGGCATATATTTGAGTTATTGGTTTAACGATAAGTATGACCTATGAGTGGGTAATGTTTTACAAATGCATGAAACAAATACTCCAATGGCCTAATCTCAATTTTCCTGCATAAACTATTACATTGAAATGATGGTCATTTGCTCTCTAACTTCCGCACCGCATACGTAACTTCGTAACAATTCAATAAGCCAAGACAGGACCGCTATAATCGCTACATGCCAGTGCAAGGAGGATTGGCTCCCAGGATCGAAACTCGATATTTTCCAACAATGAAAACGTCGAAATGTCGTTATTTTCTGAAATTAAAACCGACTATAAATTCAAAATAAACAGTTCAAAAGATTCGAACCAATATCTCGATCATTTCTTGTGAGTTTTGGAATTTTTCGTTTGGAAATAAGACCAAAATTCACGATTTAAATGTTGAAGTGAACAAAATGGCGGCTGTTTGAATTCGAATTTTGTATTACGACATACCCATATATGGGACAGAATATCGGTGGTGCACTCTGGGAGCCAATCCTCCTTGATGCCAGTGTGTACCATCGTATAGCCGATGGGCTTTTTTAGGATGAGTAACCTTTCTGCCAATTGCCAGATTGCCCCCTCTCTTTCAAAACGACTAATTAGGCCTACCTGTATAACATGTACACAAGTGCACCTTATGCCTAATAAGGCCCCGTTTATTTGACCACAAAAGAAATAAAAATTATCTTTGGGGGAGCAAAATCTGTTAATTTGAAGTGTTTAAAATGTACATAATGTGACGTAATTGAAAACTCATTTTTATTCAGTCGAGGCCAATAAGAGCCATCATTAGATATCATTAGATATCATCTCTAGTTCAAAACCAGAACGATGTGATGAGTTTTGAGTATCAGGATGAGTAAGACCCATTCGTATATGTCTCTGGGTAAAAGAACAGAATCATAAACAACCCGGATGACCCGAGGCACATACGTACCGCGGAGGAGTATACATATTCGACAATGTCCCTGTCATTTAATCTGGAAGAGTTTACCTTTTCTTCCCAACTCTTGGGAGGAAATACTTGAAGCTATTCTGGGTAAAAATACCCCTTTCCTCAAGGATATACAATGTTCCTCTTCATATGTGTTGATCATACTTGACCCATTGTTTTCTACTTTCTGATTTCCATGTATTTGCAGCGTATGTTCTCAGAGACAGACACCTCAGGAGATGGCCTCATATCATTTGACGAGTACATGCTTGCCATGGGTTTCACTCTTACACTCGCACACAAGTAAGCACTAGTCATAAGTTGATCTTCATTAAAAGGCAGAATCAGATCTATATGATCAAATGGTACAAAACAATTAGACAGGTTCCACTGTATAGCTACATTTCATAATCAGTCGTAATTATGCCATAGACATTTAAGTCAGAATTGGATTGCGTAAATATATGTCATTATGACACTGGTCTATTTCCATTGATAAAAGCAATAATTGCGTATTTTAGGGGTGAGAGTTTGCGAAGAATCTTCTACGAGATAGATGAACAAAATACTGGGAAAATATATTATACCAAAATAGAGGAGGTTTTAGAGGTGAGAGTGCCTAAGGCTGTACTTATTCAAGCATTTAAAAAAGATACAGTAATGTCCAGGAATAAAAAAAACATTCGATCGAGTAGTAGCCTTGCCCAAGTCGGTCTGTTTTACTTATCTTGATTTCTATTATGACCGAACATCTGATAAGTAAAAAATACCGAGTTGGGCAAGGCTAATCGAGTAGTTGCATTCTTATTTCTATTCGCACAAGAAGCACCGTGCATGCATGCTATCGATTGAAAAAACGTTTTTTCAATGAATTGTAATTGTATTGTTTCAATGTATTGTATTGTATTGTATCGTAGTGCATTGTAGTATTTGTATTTCAATGCATATACCAGTTTGATTTTCATATCTTGGTAATCAAGCTGATTCCACTGAATCATGAATATCACGTGTCTTTAGTATTCATTTATTCATGATCACCCGTATTTAAAAACAAAGTTACAGATAACATGCATATACACTCCCCTCCATAAGTTTGCCAACCTTAGCTCCCTCATTGAACTAGGTGTTAAAGCCTCTTTATGTTTGAATTTTTATTTACATAACCTGTGAAAAAAAATACTTATATTGATGGAAATGACTTGACTTCATTTCCAATGCCTCCAAATTTTCCCAGTTTTTTCCTCAATTACAATAGGTCGGAAATTGATGATAAATTTGAGATTTTTTGAAAATCGTCATTCCCATGTAAACCAATTGGAAATGGTGAGTCCGGTGCAGATTTATCGTCAGTTTTCGACCAATAGTAATTGAGAAAAATGGGAAAATTTGGAGGCATTGGAAATGAAGTCAAGTTACATTCCCAAGAATAGTAAAGTGTTTTCTTCACAGGTTATGTATAAATGAAAATTCAAACATAATGAGGCTCTAACAGGTAGTTCAATGAGGGAGCTAAGGTTGCCAAACATATGGAGGGGGGTGTAATTAAACCATTACAAGTATGATCTAATAATGCATTTTAAACATTATATATGTGTCTAATATGCTAATTGCCAGCGTACGTAGTATCAGCTACTGATTGCCAATGTGTAGATATAAGGGAGTTTAAACTTGCATATAAAGTCGAAACGCCAACCTATACGTCTGACCAATCGCCCATACAGATGCATTGCTTAAACATTTTCCGTTCACGTTCAGGTTGTGAAAAACATTGCAAGCTTAAACTCCCTATTGTTGAGCAAACGCAGGTCATTATAACTTACTCGAGTCTCTATCTTGGCTAGAAGTAATTTCATCTGGAACACCGTGAACCATTTGAAAAAAGCTGGCCGTAAATTTATTAAATATTTTAAAAATCGCCAGATAAATAAATCATGAATAAAAATGGAATTGGCTGGGCTCCTTGATGCTATATTGCATGATTTCGTCTAAAATCAAAATAAACAGCTCCAAGAAAAATGGCGATATTCGAAAACTGGACAAAATGTCGTTATTGTCTGACATTAGTAACTTATAAATTCTAAGTTAGCTATCCAGAAGATGTGAATTAATACATTGATCACTCCATATGTGTCTTGGAATTTTTGGTGAGGTAATAAGACCAAAACTCGCAATACAAATTGTGATGTGGAAAAATGGCGAACTTTTGATTTCAAATTTTATGATTACGACATGACCAAAATACAGCAGTAAAAAACATGCAGGGATTTAGCTTTGGACAAAGGCCATGATATAGTGGCCACGATACAGTGGTCTTAGAAGAAGGTAAATAAGAACCACACTATTTTCAGTGCAATCGTGCATCCATACCTCGTAAGAAACGCACTGAGTAAACTGCCAAAATGAAAAATGTCAAATTGAATTCTTAACTGGTTGTTATGTTCTTATTTCTGACACGTTCTCCTTTCTAATGGTATATTCATAACCTGGGGCAAATATCGTCATTTCAATCTTCGTTTCCTCAATTGCTTGTAATTTGATACTATTCGCGCATAAATAACCTGAATTCAGTTTTATACAATTTCCCAGGCATACCTGAAACTTCATAATGACTTTGTTGATAGATGCGAATATGAATGAATGCAAATGTTACTAATAAACTAAAAAACAATTATTTATTGAGAATATTGCATTCACGTATGCATGACATTCCTGCTCTACATGTAGTAAAATAGTGCATATAGGTAACTTATGAAATTCTCTGTATTTAAACGAAATGGATTGCATAAATTCTTAATTTCTGCCCCATTAGCTGATTTACATAATAATCAAACAAAATTGCTCAGTATTCCTTGTGTCTAAAATGATGTTCCTTTGTGCATCATTGTTGCTATTTTATGTTACGCTACGCTAGGTTACGTTGCGACGTTACCGTATGTTATGGTATATCGCAAAATGAATCATCTATCAATGAATATATCATGTTTCCAGGAACTTAAAAGACATTTCTTCCGAGCTGACATTAAACGAATCAGAGAGAACGCCTTGTTGATGAAGGATTCTGAGGGATACATTGATTATGAAGAATTCCTGAAAAAGGTAATACCTCATTCCAACGACTTGGTAGAGTAAAATGTGATTAAACGTGTTTGATATGAACTGAATGCTCTTGTAGATCATTAAGTAAAGACTAAATAGAGTAAATGAAATTGGATTAATTAAGGATTTAAGCCTTGGACTCAGTGCATTATGTGCTGAACCATTCCACGAAGATGTTGTTTCCAAATCTTAACATGACCCCGCAGGGGAATGCAAAGTTTAGGAAACAACATCTGAGTGGAATGAAGCAGCCATAATGCATTGCGTTTTGGGCTTAAATTCATTTCACACATTGCAAAGTATTTTCTTTAAAATCACCTAAAAGATACAAAATCACTAAGAAAGGTCAAGTATTGGAAAACTCAATTTCAATCTCAATCGCTTAAGATATTTCACACACTGTTCATTATGTGATCTACTCTGTTCTGGTTGGCTGGAATCGGACACACCTTGCCTAGCTATGTGGGAATATAATATTAATCATTTCACTGAGCGAAATGAAAATGATTATTTTACATTTTATTCTAATGTTTGTATGTATTTTATGTAGTGTATGTATGTATTTTGTTGTTCAAACAATGACATGGGCATTTCTGATCTTTCAATAAGCACGAGTTGTTCAAAAGGGTCATGTAACATTTTGAAAAATAGAAGTAAATCATTAAACTATAGTTGTACATTGTCTTGAATATACTCTATTTCAGCTTATGTCAATGAAGATTATCATCATCGAGGATTTTAAACAGACAGGAGGACGGTATTCTATTGAGAAACGCAAAACGGAGTCCAACATTACAACAGTTGTCACCGAAACGACCACTACGAGAAGGACCTTCAACGAGGAAGAGATCGAAGAGACACAAACAAAAGCCCTCAATGGAAATGCCCAGGATGCTGTTGAAGAAACGGTTCTCACCTTATTTAATATTTTTAATCTATTGAAATACTTTTATCAGATCAGATGTACAATTTTGTTGGTTATGTTTTTGAGTACTTTCAATAGTCAATTATGTTTATAATATCCAAAAGTATTTTTATTGAAGTCACTTATATTTACTTTTATTTCAACAATTGTTAATGGACAGTCATTCCAACAACGAGAAAAGAATACCTTTGATTCATTGATAGTTTTTCAATAGATCACCGTCCAGAAGGCAAACGTCGTAGAGGCTAAAATATCTGAACCATGCGTTACAAAAACTACTACAATTAGCATGACTAGCGAACAAAACAACAACAAAAATGGTAAGATTATCTCGTCCACACATCTACATGTGTATTATTTGCTTATGCTCATCGGAAGAGGGCTAAGCTTGGTTTATAATTCTTATCTTAATATGTTCAGCTTGAGAAACACTTCTTATTGCTAGAATGACAGTAGAACTTACACGTAGCTTTTCAATATTATTACTGGTAGAATTGTCTTCTTTATTTGCATTTTCTAGTAGCGTGTAGGTCTGATGGTCTTTATCGCTTTAGTAGTTTCATGTTAGACTACGAGAGGTGATCACAAAGCTCTAATAATATAACTTTTTTAGTTTTCAATATATTCTCAAAACTTTATGTGTTGTAACTGTTACAAATGATCATGTGAATTGTGCTTTGTCATACGGGATGTTAACATGCTTCGTTTGATTCCAAGAAAAAGCTTATGATCCAAAAAGGACTGACTAAGTACAATAAGTGCAGCTTTTTTAAGAAAAATAAAATCATAATGCTGAAAAATTTTGTTGAGCTTATAAATTCTTTGTCCAGACTAAAGATCTCAAGCAACTATACGGCGAAGATATGAACAAAATTACGGTCAAAATCCCTGTATGGTCTGAACATTAAAAAAACTACACCAAATATTTGGACATTTGGCAAAATAGTCACGGGATCTGAAATCATTATAAACAGTGAACAGCACATAGTACTTCACATTTTGATTTGATTATTGATAGCTTATTTGATAATGTATTATTTGTTGAATCATGGGTAATGGGGGTCAATTTAACTAGTGTTTATAATGAGCATTTGGTCCTAAGAATTTGGGTTACTTGGGTGGCAACCATTTTCAATTGAATATTTCTATTATGCTAAATCTATATTGTTCGACTTATAGCCTATTGTATGTTTACATTCTGTAAAAATGTCAATAGAATATTTTGGAAACCCAAAATTTCAGAGATATTCTGAGAACTTTATGATCACCCCTCGTAGATGTTTGATTGCATGTTGGATTTAGATATTAGTAAATATTTGTAGTAATGATGTAGCATGATGGTATATATATATTGATTTGATAGTTCTATCATATCTGTCATATTGTTTATATAATTGTTACATTAACAAGATAAAATGTCACATACCCCATTACAATACCCTTTTCCCCAAGTTGACAACGTAACATTAGAAATTAACATAGTCGATGAACAATATAGTATATTAGTTGTACCAAAATGGGAAATTTTATTCTCGGTGCAATGTATGCCATTTTGTTTCTCACTTTCATCCCCCTAACTTTCTCTGTTAAAGCCGGTGCCTCGTCTGTTGGAGAGGCTAGCACTGTGCCCAAGGAGGTGAGGATGGGTGTAACGGCAGTAAATGTTAAACGTTCTAAACAATCAAACAAAGAACAGGAAGATCAAACCTCTACTGTTAATGTAGAATCATCAGACACTATTGACATTCAAGATAGTTCTACTCTTACAGCTAGCACATTGGAAACCAAGGAAATTAAGTTACCTTCTAAACCATGCGTTGCTACTACAGAAATAAAACAAATAAGAAACATTAAACAAGACATCAGTGAAAGTGATAAGGCATTAATGATAGAGGTAATGGAGGACCTTTTAGGTAGTGACAACGAGGAAGATACTGACACAGTCAAAATGACTGCTGTGGATGATGGTTTGCAGCCAAAGTTGCCTTCTGAGCCATGTATGACATCAGTCACTGTGACAACGGAAGATACGACTACCGTAGGAACATCTGTGGATGGAGATGAATTGGCTACAACTAAAGATGAAAAGGGACCAGATTTATCTGACTCTGATAAGAAGTTAATGACAGAGGTGTTGTCTGAGTTGATTGATGATACATCTGACGATGGAACCACAGCACAACAAGATGATATAAAAGTCACAACAGAAGTTACAATTACAACAACCGAACAAATTACTACTAACGTTGAAGTAGCCAGCGGTATAGGGTTGACTGAGACACAAACATTTACACAAGATGAAACAGCCCCTATAGAAACTGCGCAAGAGGCAGTTGAAACACCACCAGAAATTCCCTCTGACCAAGAAAAAGATGAGGAGCAAGAGGTTTCAGCAAGAATATCTAAAATGGGGAGCATTAATTTTGACGATGGAGACATCACACAATCAACAGTTGTTGTTGAAACTACAAAAACAACAAGTACAACAAAGGAACTCATAAATGACACTGTAGATGCAAAAATTGACAACATTGAACCAGAAGAAAAGGAGATTACAGCAGATGTCCAACAGGAGCTTCTTTCCCAACAAAACGTAGTGGAGGTCAAAATGATTGAAGTTCAGCAAGAAATATCTGAAATAAAAGAAGCAAAAGCAGGTGACATAAAAGATGAAACAGTTGATGTTGAAACTACAAAAACAACAATTACAACTAAGGAACTCATAAATGACACTGTAGATGTGAAAATTGACAACATTGAACCAGAAGAAAAGGAGATTACAGCAGATGTCCAACAGGAGCTTCTTTCCCAACAAAATGTAGTGGAGGTCAAAATGATTGAAGTTCAGCAAGAAATATCTGAAATAAAAGAAGCAAAAGCAGGTGACACAAAAGATGGAACAGTTGATGTTGAAACTACAAAAACAACAATTACAACTAAGGAACTCATAAATGACACTGTAGATGCGAAAACTGACAGCATTGAACCAGAAGAAAAGGAGATTACAGCAACTGTTCAACAGGAGCTTCTTTCCCAACAAAACGTAGTGGAGGTCAAAATGATTGAAGTTCAGCAAGAAATATCTGAAATAAAAGAAGCAAAAGCAGGTGACATAAAAGATGGAACAGTTGATGTTGACACTACAAAAACAACAATTACAACTAAGAAACTCATAAATGACACTGTAGATGCGAAAATTGACAACATTGAACCAGAAGAAAAGGAGATTACACCAGATGTTCAACAGGAGCTTCTTTCCCAACAAAACGTAGTAGAGGTCAAAATGATGGAAGTTCAGCAAGAAATATCTGAAATAAAAGAAGCAAAAGCAGGTGACACAAAAGATGGAACAGTTGATGTTGAAACTACAAAAACAACAAGTACAACAAAGGAACTCATAAATGACACTGTAGATGCAAAAATTGACAACATTGAACCAGAAGAAAAGGAGATTACAGCAGATGTCCAACAGGAGCTGCTTTCCCAACAAAACGGAGTGGAGGTCAACATGATTGAAGTTCAGCAAGAAATATCTGAAATAAAAGAAGCAAAAGCAGGTGACGTAAAGGATGGAACAGTTGATGTTGAAACTACAAAAACAACAATTTCAACTAAGGAACTCATAAATGACACTGTAGATGTGAAAATTGACAACATTGAACCAGAAGAAAAGGAGATTGCAGCAGATGTCCAACAGGAGCTTCTTTCCCAACAAAACGTAGTGGAGGTCAAAATGATTGAAGTTCAGCAAGAAATATCTGAAATAAAAGAAGCAAAAGCAGGTGACATAAAAGATGGAACACTTGATGTTGAAACTACAAAAACAACAATTACAGCCAAGGAACTCATAAATGACACTGTAGATGCGAAAATTGACAACATTGAACCAGAAGAAAAGGAGATTACAGCAGATGTCCAACAGGAGCTTCTTTCCCAACAAAACGTAGTGGAGGTCAAAATGATTGAAGTTCAGCAAGAAATATCTGAAATAAAAGAAGCAAAAGCAGGTGACATAAAAGATGGAACAGATGATGTTGAAACTACAAAAACAACAATTACAACTAAGGAACTCATAAATGACACTGTAGATGCGAAAATTGACAACATTGAACCAGAAGAAAAGGAGATTACAGCAGATGTCCAACAGGAGCTTCTTTCCCAACAAAACGTAGTGGAGGTCAAAATGATGGAAGTTCAGCAAGAAATATCTGAAATAAACGAAGCAAAAGCAGGTGACATAAAAGATGGAACAGATGATGTTGAAACTACAAAAACAACAATTACAACTAAGGAACTCATAAATGACACTGTAGATGCGAAAATTGACAACATTGAACCAGAAGAAAAGGAGATTACAGCAGATGTTCAACAGGAGCTTCTTTCCCAACAAAACGTAGTGGAGGTCAAAATGATGGAATTTCGGCAAGAAATATCTGATATAAAAGAAGCAAAAGCAGGTGACATAAAAGATGTCAATAATACCGATCAGGAAAAGTCAGAAACAGAAATAATTTCTAGTACAACTGCCGTTACCCGACTAAGTGAGGAAGACAAGGATTTAATGAAGAAAGTTATGGGAGATCTAATTGGTGAGGACGATGAGGAAACACAAACCATCAAGGGAATAAAAAAAGAAAATGTCACAAAAGAAACGATTACAATTACAACATCAGAAGTTACTCAGACAAATGATGACGACAATGAACTTATGAAAGAGGTCATGGATGACCTTATCAACAAAACTGATGCATCTGAAGAAAAAGCGCAAATAGACGAGCAAACAAAAGTAGAAAGACAAGAAGATTCTACATTAACTAAGACTACCACTACAACGGTAATAACAACCGAAGTTACAGAGACAACTTCTGATCAAACAGAGCAACTCAACATTGCGCCAGAGGTTGAGATCACACCTACAACAGCTACAGACCTAAGCGGGACAGTCATAACAACAACAATGACAACACTACACAGCAAAGACCGCATCGAGGCTGAGCAGTCGGAAAAAAATATGAATAAAGAAGACGAAGCTTTAATGAAGGAGGTAATGGAAGATCTTCTTGATGATGAAGATCAAGTGAAAGAATCGACACCAGAGCTGCAACAACAAATGTCAATGGATGAGATTATAAAATACGAAGTTACGGATGTAGCCTCGGCACCAAAAGCATCAGAGGTAAATGATGTTCAAGAAATTAGTTCAGTCAGTACAGTCACTACAACGACAATAACAACCACAAAAACACTGATTGATGATACAGGTTTCCAACAGCAAGAATCAATGGAAGACGACGTCGTTATTGAATATGATGTGAGTGAGACTCAAAACGTAGTAATTGAACAATTAACGTCCGAGGCATCACCTACGGTAGAGAGCGTCCCCTACGTTCAACAAGAGTCCACTGAGGAAGACACAGTCATCAAATATGATGTCGAGATTTCCAAAGCTGAAGGCGCTAGCTCTGAAAGCATTGAATCTTCTATTGAAAGCTCTGAAACCTATATAAGCTCAGAAGGGATTGGGGAAAAGGTCTATGTTGAAAGCCCAGACAATTCCATAAGCTCAGATGGGGTTGAGGAGAAAGTCACCACCAAAACAACGTTTACCACAACAACTTCTTCTACCACAGTCAATACAACGGGTAAATAAAACAGCTCCTAGAAATGATAAAATCCGAAACCTTATAAAATCATTTTACGGTTGTCGTTTGTGCATATAGTTGGGAACATAACTGATTTAATGTTTGCTTTTTCTGTGTGTTTAGATAGATCTCTATACCTAGCATGTCTTTGCACTGTCATACCTCAAACTCACAATGCGTTTTAGGAAGTAGACTAAGCCCTTTAATTAGATAGATATTATTCACCTCCTCTTCACGTTGCCATATGTATTTCATAGTGTGACTTAATGTTACTATGAAAACACAAGCATTTTGACTCTGTTGTTGAAGAAACTGAAATGTGATAATTTGAGAATCTGCATTATTCAATATATTCCCCCAAGTTTTTATTTGTTTTCAGTTAGAAATTCGAACTGTGCTTGTAGTTCTTTTGTCTTGTGTATGTAGTACATTTAGACCATTCTTTGGAATCCCCTAATCATAACCAATAAATTAATGTCATAACAAAATGCCTAGTAATGTACTAAATCAACAATTACAACATAGAATTGATCCATCAATGATAAACATGCTTTCCATCAGTACAGGGTGGTCCAAAAAAATGGGACACTCGTATTTCAAAAATAGATATTGATTTTCATGATGAAAACATATCATATTATATACCAGTGGATAGGGAATTTACTTATCTTTAATTTGGTATATCATCAGTTCAAATTTATTATAATGTCTGTCAACCAGCGTCCATAATATAAATGATGTCATTTTCATTTTAAAACGGATTTTCCAAAACTTGCAAAAACCATGAACCCCTACATTTACTCAGTCCCTTATTAAGGATAGACTTGTTGAGTTGTGGAATTCATTGTCTCAACTGAATTTCAATGATGTTTTTGACCAGATAAGGCCAAATTTGAGGGCTATAATTGATCAAAATGGTGGACATATTGAATGTCTGTTTGTGTACATAAAGTTGACAAAAAACTTGTTTTTTTGCAAATTTTGGAAAATCCGTTTTGAAACTAAAATGACGTCATTTATATAACAGACGCTGGTTGGCAGATATTACAATAAATTTGAACTTATGATATACCAAATTGAAGATAAGTACATTTCCTATCCACTGGTATATAATATGACATGTTTTCATCAAGAAAATCAATATTTACTTTTGAAATACGAGTGTCCCATTTTTTTTTGAACCACCCTGTAGATTGCTGAGCTTGGCTCTACCCATGCTTAAGCCATGCCAATTTTGACATTTTTAATCAACGTACTCAAATGTGAAGGTTTAATGCATTGCCATCGAAAGGACTGAATACAAAGTAAAGGGCATACTCATACGTAGATATAAGTACTTCTATGAATCAGTTGGCCCTTTATTGTTTTAATTAATTCATTATTTCATGCGATTAAACGGAGCTATTTGTGCATTTCATATCAGCTGCCTGAAAACAATAATGTTTGTGCATCAAAGCAAAAGCTATTTGCTGAAATGGCCTCTACTAGCATCTCATATTATATTTTTGCTTGTGAATTTTGCATTTGAACCATCACCACCCTCTCTTGCAACAGGAACTTGCTCAATTTGCCGGTGATCAGTTATGTCCTCAACAATGCCCATGATTATCAATTTTATACTATTGTGCCTCGAGTCGCGATACTATGCAATAATAATGGAACAAATATTATGATAACTTACTTGTAAAGCAAGAAGACTTACAAATAGTAATCCAAGCACTTGCCAATGTTATTTGCAGACCATTGGTCGTATTGACAGAACCTTTGGAAATTGATATGAATTTAAATCGTTTTCGATACCGTTGGATATTGGTCATTGTTATTGTTGTTGTGATACTTTTTGAGCTTTCTCTTTTTATTTGCATCTATATATAAGCCGCATTTATATCATATAATTAATTACGTAATTTTATTATTATATTCTTTGGGAGCTTATATTTTCACAACGATTGCTCAACTAATTTCATTTCATTTACTACTTTTCATCTTATTTGATCTCATTTTCTTACATTCCTCTGTGTATAGGTGGAAAGGTGCAATACGCAATGCACTACTGGCCCGAGGATGAGAACAGGACTCTTGCAATTCTTGGAGACATCCCGGAACTAGGGGCCTGGGACGCTAGCAAAGCAGTCCTTGCAGAGGAATATAAGAACAGCGGTTGGTGGACCGTCAATCTCAGCGAGAAAGGTTTGTTCTTTGATTCGTTGGATGAACTACTGGTTTTGGATAGTTTGTATCAGTATATATATTTAGCATTCTGATACTCATACCATCTTTCTGTTTCACCTGAGGGCTGAGAAGAAATGAGATGTCATGGTTCTTCATAGATATTTAGTTATATGCTAGTTGTTAGGCGTTTCATTTTCTGAAGAAAACTATCCATCTAATTTAATTTCTTTTATGTACCTGGCACGTTATGTAACTCCGTGTATAATGATTGTCTTCTTTTCAGTGCCAGCTGGTAAGAACTTTGAATGGAAGTGGGTGGTCGTAGACAAGAACCGACCCCGGGTGCTACGGTGGGAGATCGAGTCGGGTGGCAAGAACCGAGTGGGCAAATTGGGCACCGAAGGCGCTGAGTTGTGGTTCCCGTGGAAGGACTGGTCAAACACTGTCTAAACTAGACAGTCAATATAGCATCCTTCCTTCCAACAGGCTGTCTAAGGAGCACGTGCAAATATGCTCTTAAAGGAGGGAGAGGTGCAATGATAGGACTTATTCCATCAGTTTATTTTTTAACTTCATTTTTTTATGAAATGGTGATATCATACTAGGCTAGTATGGACACAGGGACCAGTATGAACATGTGATTATGGCATTAGAGTGCGGTCTTCAGTATATCAGCTATACTGGAAATATTGTGTTTAAGTTGCTCATCATTTCTAATAGTATTAAATTCAATGAATTATTCAGACCATTAGCAATTTATAATTCTTGTTAAAACTAGTATCTATAGCTCGTATCAAATGTACATAATTAAAGATATTTTTAGTGGCTCCAAGCAAGTATTATTTTAACCAGTACATGTAACACAACAGCTTGTATGTTATCATATGTTTTATGTTATTGAAGAAATGTATTTGAATAGCTTTCCCGGTATAATCAAAATTGTGGTTCATGTGAGTCTAATTAAAGGTGAAGAGAGTTATGTAATTTAATATGTACGAAAAGAGGATCGGAATTTCTTGATTTAATTAATGTAGTGGCAACTGCTGAATTATAGATATATTTTACATGAGAACATACATAGCAGGGGACGGAACGGTCATTATAACTTTTAACATAAATTGGCGATGATGTTGTCTCTTGTTCCTCTAAACGGTTGAATTGATATTAAAATAAATACATTTAAAGTTAACAAAGAATTCTCTGTTGGTACTTATCTTAAAAGTTCGTTACGGACATTGAGCAAGAATAAAAGATCTGATAAGAAAACCAGTAAAGTGATATTACTTATTTTTCTTAGAAACGTATTACAAAATCATGGCCAATCATATTTACATTATTCAGAGAATGTGTCAGGATATGGTGTCTCTTTTGATATCACTCTATTATAAGTAAAAGAATCATAAAAAGGGATTTCTGCTATTATATTTCTGATTACTTTGTACAGCCGTTTGTAAAGCCGTTCAGTTTCAACCAACATTTAAGGCTTTGTATAAAAAACCTCCTACCCACGTACCCTCGTACCCACGTACGTGGGTCCTGACCCAGTCTTTAAAGAGTTAAATCTTTAACATTTTTTAAACATTATTCTATCTCAATGTATGCTTAATTATGGATGAATTTATGTACCCATATGCCTTTATTTCTAGATCGGACATCTGTCTCGTCATAAAATAAAGCCGGTGTGAAAGAAATGATGGTCCCCCAGGGATTATGGTCCCCTTTCTTAACGGCCCTTACTGGCCCTGATTGCGTATAAGATAATGAGGGAAAACGTTGTATTGAGGTCACTATATAAATCAATGGAGAGTGGGACCATAATTTGATAGGACCTCCTACCCTTTTACACCGGCATTGCATAATGTTCATTTGAGCTATTTGAGTGTTGTTTTTGATATATCGAAGCGATTTTTTGTTGATCGGGCAGTCTTACAGTGTACAACCAATCTATTGCTTGGCGCAAATTGGCCACATGCGGCATGTGTTGTAAAGTGCTGTAGTTTTTGACTCCATGAGCAGAATATGGTCAAACTTTCACAACAAAATTCACATTGAATGACCTGAATGATTCTGGATTGACGAAGTTATTCAACTTTTCATCGGTCCTGTTTTTTAACACCCTGTAGTTTCGATTTTTATCACATATACTTTTTATTCTTTCAAACGATATTACAAGTATTCATTGTTTGCACGACAGATTTGAACTATACGTGTAATTTGTCTTATGTCTCTTATTTAATTTAACATCAGAATTGGAGATACAAAGTGATAGAGTGATCAATTCACACGATCTCAAGGAATAATAAAGGCTGCATTTCTGTTTAACCGTGGCGCAATTGAATAACGAAATATTTGAAAAGTAGAAGGATTCGCTATATTCGTTTTTAATCGCTTTTTGGCACAATTTAAGGATAATTGTGCGCACTAGTTCAGTGAATCATTTAGATGGAATTAAAAGTTAGAGTTGACAAACTTATGCAGGGGAGTGTAAGTTTGGTTTTGTAAACTTCGACATTATTCATGGCCGTTTGATCCATAATTAGGTAATATGAAGAGTAGAGTTTTATTTTGACAATGATTTGATGTAAAACTGGTTTGAATGATAAAAGTTCAGCTTTGTAGTTTCTAGCTTTTTGCGCGTAAAACGTGAATACAATGGACAACAACGACACCAAATCTTTGACTAACATACGTTAATAACGTATAATATTCGTAAGAATGAATTCTAATAACATTTGAAATAAACATCTAATAAAATGTGGTGAATTTAATTGGTTGGAAACTCTAAGAAATATATTTTAAAAAAGATGTCAACTTTTGGACAAGGGTAAACTTCCCGGGACATTTACAATCTGCATGAGGTAACAGGAGGCACGGATTGCACTGAACGAAGGCTAGGAGATTGCTAATCAGCACTGATGTGTTATACAGGTAAGACTGCCCGATCAACAAAAAACATTTCGACATATCAAAAACATAAATCAAATAGCTCAAAAATAATGAACATTTATGCAATTCCGGCTTTATTTTATTTTACTAGAGAGATGTCAGACCTATAAATAAAGGCATATGTATGCATAAATTCATCTATAATTCAGGATAAACTGAGATTCAATAATGTTTTAAACATTTAAAAATTTAACTCTTTAAAGACTGGGTCAGGACCCACGTACGTGGGTACGAGGGTACGTGGGTAGGAGGTTTTTTATACAAAGCCAACATTTAAGTATAGATGAAATCAAGTGAATTGAAGAAAAAAGATGTTGATATCATTATAAATATAACAATGGTTATTCAATAGAATTTTATTTAAATCTGGTTAGTATTGTCCCTCAAACAAAAACTTCAAAATACACTAATCCAAATTCAATTTCACGATCAAAGTTTTGTCTGAATGAAAATATAATGGATTTAACTACATTGACAAACATAAATCTGTCACAGAAACTTTAATCCACAATGGGCATTCTTGAGATCATATAACATTGGTTTATCCACTAATAACGCAATGAGCTGTGGTATCAATAGAGACGCCGTAATACACAGAAAGCAAAGAAACAACTTGAACAGGAAACATCTAGACCGAGAAGACACAATCAAAGGAAAGCATGAACGATTAATAACTTTCCAAATAAGAGGAGGTGTAGGTCATAAACAAGAGTAATTGTCCATTCAAATAAGGAACCCAATCATGCCGACGACGCCAGCAACAACAACTCTGCTCCTACCAAAGACACGGAGCTACCATGCGAAGAGCGTCCGACCAGACGCCAAAGTGGGCATGCACCTGAACCTTCATAAAAACATCGACAAACGCTTCAGGCCAACGTATGTAACGATAGATTATAAAAATGGACCAGAGAGTTTGGAGTTGATTGATATCGTATTGGCACGGCAGAGGCCATTTCTAAGGAGCTTCAGTGGAAGAAGGATGTACTCTGCGGGTCAGGTTTACACTCATGTTGACCACATAGCGCAGTCCGACCCATATAGGATAGCCGAGTCTAAAGGCTTCATGATAGAAGAAAGAGAAGCACCTGGTGTACCACGACTAATTAAGAAAACCCCTGATGAAGTTGATGCCATTATAGATAGGATAACTAAGTTCGACCCTCGCAAACACCCGGCCGATTCCCGGGGAAGATGTGGACGGTTTACTCCAGCCCAAGAGGATAGAGACCAGCGACCCACAAATAAATACTCCAATGATGACGTGAAAGCTATTGTTGAACGTTTATCAAAATTTGACCCTGAGAAAGTCCCTGAATCAAAGGGGCCAATCCGAGGAACGCCTACAAAGATGGATCTTCCCATTATCTACAAAAAGAACTACACAGAGGATGAAGTACATGCCATAATTGACAGACTTATTAAATACGATCCTAGTAAGTGGCCTCCAGAATCACGAGGTAAATCTCCAACCTTCCTACAGGAGGTCACAAAACAGAAGATGACAACTATCAAGAAATGTAAACCGTTTGAAGTTGAGGAGATTGTCGATAGACTGATGCAGTTTAACCCACAGAAATGGCCACCGGAGTCCAAGAGATTCAATCCAAATCGATCAACAACAGTTTGCTTCTGAATTACAATGACCTGCTTTAACATATGAAGCCCTGTCAGCATAGTGAACTACAAGGTGGACTCTTAAGGACTTGCCGTTCACCATATGGTAACTTTTAAGTATATATGTAGCTTGCAAAGTCCAGTACAACTAAAAAAAAATTATTTGTAGACTACAGAGCGATTTTTTATTTAGGTTTCGTATCAAAAATTAAGTTGGAGCAATTTTTCAAAAAAGGGGCCAATCTATTTCTAAACATGTGTCCCTCTGGTTTCTTGATAACCTCATGCAGTAACCCAAAAGGGGTTTATTAGATGGAAACAGGAAAACATAAAAGAGCATTAAAGTGAACCAATCCATTTAAATTTTGTAATATACCACGAAGTAATGAATGAACAATTACATAGAAAGATGAAATGGAAAATACAGTCGAACAAACTATTTTTTGAAACTATACAAAATATATTTCACCATAATTGCAATGGTATTTATAGCAATCACCATTTTGACATCAAATTATTAACAGAGTTATTATAACCATGATTTATGGGTATTGAACAATTGTATTTGTGAATGTACTATGAAATAAAAGTGGAATGAAATATCAGAGTCTTAGATACCAATGATCGGTCGGAGATGATCATGTAAATTGATTGTGTTTTAACAATCTAAAATACCTTTAAAATACACTTCAATAGCACTATCCAATTACATGCTGTCCAGTATTTATTTGAAAGTCTAGCTCTGATCCTAAAATTCCCCATTGACCAGTTTGAAAATACTTTGAAAATGGGTATGGGCCTTTATCAATTTGAACTTGTCATTCGGACTACAAAATTAGGAATTTTAGTTTTCATATTTGCATGAAAGATTTCTATCAAAGCCTATGATGGTGAAAAATGCAGATTGTTTTGCTTTTAAAGGGGTATTTTAGGGTAAGAGTTAGAGAGTATACTACATTAGAAATACCATGCGCCATCTTTATAAATATAGAAAGAACAGTCAATAATATTCCTTTAGTTCTATATAATAGAAAAGCAAATCCACTCAATTCTTATGCCGAGGGAAGATATCACACTGAAATATTGACTCAACCCACATACAATCTTGCCCAAGGAGTTAATTACCTGTTATATTGCATGATTAATATAAAACCATTCTAAAATATTTGTAATTTTATTATGCTTTATCGATTTTCTTAACATTTGTGCTGTTTATAAGATGTCATTGTTATATTTTATTACAGTACAGTTTTACAGTATTGTTTTCATCAAAAATCTTTAATTTCATACCAACAGAATAATAATTTGTGCATTATCATAATGTAATCACATGTACATACACTGTATGTATATTGTAAGTTATATATGGAAAAATATATTTTACTGCACTGAATATACTATGTAGTGATTTATGTACATTTTTCATTTTATGAGGTATCATTCTGTATTCTATACTCCAGGCACATTCTGTAAGCATTTTAAGTATTGCCTTGTAACATGTTAAAATATGCTCAAGCTTTTCAAATGGGCTACAAAAGAACAACTGAATAACATTTACAAAACAGTGAAAATGCTCTTCAGATTAAATACTTCTTTTAACCCCTAAATGTGTCTTTTTGGTTAAGATATAACCAACTTTAGCAAACTTTCAACTTACAACATCCAAAATTTAATTTGTAATTCAATAAATGCCATTCTTCACACTCAAACGGATATACTTGAAATAAACATGTTAAAGAATATATTATTATTTGAAATGGTCCCTTATGATACCAAATCGAACCATTAAGTCCATTATCACCTTCAGTCAGCCTTTGGCCATTTTAAATGGCTAATATATCTCATCAATTGGACTTTAAATCAGAATTATTTGACTGATTCCTTTTTATTGACATCATATGGTTAGATTGTCATGTAGCGTTTTAGATTCAATCACTGGTATTGTTCTTTTGTTCGGGTTTCCTACTCCAAAAAATTACTTAATTTCTTCAAATAGTGTTACTCCTTTCTTCATAAGCATTTTAGATATTTCAATGTTTTTTTCAATTTTAAATACTTTTGGCACTCTCACACTATTTATAAAGTTAAAAAATATGATAGCAATGTGCAAGATCAGTTCTTTTGGTGAAAATCTGTTGTAATAAGTCCCACCTCCTCTGCATTTTGGAATTATGATAGTCATTCAGTATAGCTGTATATACATTTTGTGCAAAATGTCCTCAATGCTGTAAATTCCTGGTGTTAATGTTCAGCTCTTAAAGTGCTCAAAATATAATATTCGGCCACCCTTTATACAAAAAGTCAAGCTCTAGTATTTGAAGTCCTATGTACAATATCTCAAAATCTTTTGGCCAGGTCATCTGAACAAGCATGGTGACCTATGCATCAGAGGTCCTCCATATATTAATTCTCATCACATGTTTTAAAGTCCTCCCATCTTTATGTATCTCTGAGTCCATCATTAGTGTACTCCCTGATACAGTTCTCAAATGGTACATTAGAGACCCAATGACAGAGACCATCTCTGTTGCGAGAGCAAATAGTGTATTTGTTGAAACAGTCTATAGCTGGGTCCTCAGGGTAATACAGACAGACATCTGGGTGCTTGTCGCATGGTTCATAGTCACATGTGATGATCTAAAAGAAAAAGAACAATTTTAAATATGTTTGTTTTTAATAAACACATACAGAAAGTCTACAGTGAGTGTGAACCATCCCTGACCCTGATTGTAAGTATAGTAAAACCTGTAAAGTGAAACACCTCAAAAGTGGAACACCTCTATTAGTGGACCACTTTTCAACATCTCCCACATGGAACATTTATAGATACCAAAGGTGTTCCACTAGGACAGGTTTTACTGTACAAAGAAAATTCTGAGAAGATGTGAACATCAGATACAGTATTTAGATATACACTACCCTTATTGAAAAGATCAATGGTAAGAGTTTGAAATACTCATAACAAAGAATGTCCATTTTAAAAATTCACATGTCAGTAAACAAAAACAAAGAGATTTATTGTATCATTTGATTAAACTAAAATAGCATCTACCCTGCATTCACAGTTCTTTGAGTATGATTGCAGGACTGCCCCCAATGCCCTCCTCTCCTCCACAGACTCTGGCCAGTCTGATATGTACATACAGGAGTCACTGAATGGGAGATTTTTCTCTGCAATACCTATAGCATACAGGGTCGTAGAAAGATTAGTTACAAAAAGGAGACCTAGTGTCACCACTTACAGTACAATAAAATGCAATACAATAAAAGTCAAATGCAATATATATGATTTATGTGTGAGAGTTGTGCATGAAGTACAATGCAATACAATACAATACAAGAACACAAATGTGTACAAAATGTCCCCACCTATGGGTGATCCCATCAAATGGTTATCCTAAAAATGAGTAGACAAGACTTTAATGACACAATTTGAGGACGGAAAATCCAATATGGCCACCTTAAAATTTACCCAGAATGCCCAAAAATTAGTCAGTTCTAGATTTTCATACTAAGAAGCACCCCTGAAAATTTGAAATTGATCCTTCACACAGTTAACCAGAAAACATGTAAACAAGACTTTACAGACAAGATTTGAGGACCGAAAATCCAAAATGGCTGCCTTGACATTTATCCAGAATGCCAAAAAACTAATCTGTTCTAGATTTTCATACTAAGGATCATCCCTGAAAATTTGAAATTGATCTACCAAACGGTTCACCTGGAAATGCGTAGACAAAACTTTACAAACAAGATTTTAGGACAGAAAATCCAAAATGGCTGCCTTGACATTTACCCAGAATGCCCAAAAACTAATCAGATCTAGATTTTCATACTTAGAATCATCCCTGAAAATTTGAAATTGATCTACCTAACGGTTCACCTAAAAACGCGTAGAAAAGACTTTACGGGCAAGATTTTAAGACGGAAAATCCAAAATGGCTGCCTTGACATTTATCCTGAATGCATAAAAACTAATGAGATCTAGATTTTCATTCTAAGAATCATCCCTGAAAATTTGAAATTGATCTACCAAACAGTTCACCTGGAAATGTGTAGACAATACTTTACAGACGAGATTTTAGGATAGAAAATCCAAAATGGCTGCCTTGACATTTACCCAGAATGCTCAAAAACTAATCAGATCTAGATTTTCATACTAAGAATCATCCCTGAAAACTTGAAATTGATCTACCAAACGGTTCACCTAAAAACGCGTAGACAAGACTTTACGGGCAAGATTTTAAGACGGAAAATCCAAAATGGCTGCCTTGACATTTATTCAGAATGCATAAAAACTAATGAGATCTAGTTTTTCATACTGAGAATCATCCCCATCCCTGAAAATTTCAAATTGATCTACCAAACGGTTCACCTGGAAATGCGTAGACAAGACTTTACAGACAAGATTTGAGGACGGAAAATCCAAAATGGCTGCCTTGACATTTACCCAGAATGCCCAAAAACTAATCAGATCTAGATTGTCATACTGTGAATCATCCCTGAAAATTTGAAATTGATCTACCAAACGGTTCACCTGAAAATGCGTAGACAAGACTTTACTGACAAGATTTTAGGATGGAAAATCCAAAATGGCTGCCTTGACATTTACCCAGAATGCCCAAAAACTAATCAGATCTAGATTTTCATACTAAGAATCATCCCTGAAAATTTGAAATTGATCCACCAAACGGTTCACCTGAAAACATGTAGACAAGACTTTACACACGAGATTTTAGGACCGAAAAATCCAAAATGGCCGACAATAAAAAAGTGATTATGAGTTTTTGCTAATTTCTTTCAACAAAATTATCACATATAACTACTGTTAACAATAACATAGGCTTTTACAACAAAGTACACCTGAAATTATTTATAAAGCTACTAAATAGTTTAAGTATGAAAACTGAATAACACCATTCAATATGATACAAAGTATTATCGTGCGCTAACTTTTCTTAAAACATTCAAAATGGCTGACATGACTGAGCTTACAGGTCCAAAACCTAATCAGATCTAGAATGAAGTGAGCTGAACAAGATTTTAAAGTTTTAAAAGCAACTGTGAAGCCGTTTTTCTTAAAGTTTGCAGACAAGGATTTTAGCATTTGACTTCAAAATGGCCGACAGGAAGTTGGTATCGAGTTAATTTTTTTTCATCCACATCTGTATGCACTCATAAGTTATCCCTGAAAATTTGAAGGTGATATCTGTAGCGGTTTTGGAGAAAACTGCCGGACGTACGGACAGACAGACGGACAGACAGACGGACGCGCCTAGGCCGACAATATGGCCCCACACTATGTGGTGGGGACATAAAAAGTCAAATGCAATATATATGATTCGATTCTAACCTGAGATAATGTACTATGTGTGAGAGTTGTGCATAAAGTACAATGCAATACAATGCAATAAAATGGATTCGAACATGACTGTATTCACGCCTTCTATAAACTGTAAACAAAGTCAACATTTCACCCGGGGTATATTCGCGAACAAAACCCCTGGTAATATGTGTAATGTGTGACGTCATAACGGCGGGCCATAGTAATGGCGGACCATAATGAATATTCGAAACATTTTGGTGAGTTTTCATGTTCGAATCGTAATATAGACCTCAGAGCAGGTATAATATCGTCGAATACACCCCTTAGGGCTAGGCACAAAAGCTTTCAAACCCCTCACTCCCTTCGGTCGTTTGGGGTACAGAAAACGTTTGTGTCTAGCCCTGCGGGGTGTATTCGACAATATTACCCCTGCTCTTCGGTCTATATTTCTTAAATACAATATAACACAATAAAATGCAATACAATTAAAGTCCACACCTACCTGAGATAATGTAATGTTTGTGAGAGCTTATATGAATTCCACAATGCAGTGGGTTAGAGGGGGTAAAGAAAATTCTCTTCTTCATTCTCTTCAAGCTTCTATAGTTACGGCTACCCTGGCAACAAGAGAAATTTTCAAAGTAGTTTCCATAGCAACTGTCAGAATGTAAGGATATATACATACTTGTAGTTGGACACAATTCAATAGAATAATCAATAATCTTGTATTTAATGCTCACTGATATTAATCAAGATAATTTTTATAATAGATCATCTTGAGTGTACATGCAGTAAAGTAGTACAACATGTACTTATAAAAGAGATAGATGCTTCCATTAGCTTATTAATATTACAATCGAAAAGAGCCCAGGGCTATATGTTGAAAACATATGTACAGTATCTGCTACCTTCACTGTCAGTGTCTCACCTTAAATACAGTCTGAACCTTCATCTTGTATTGACTGAAGAATCCATTGTTTTTCTTTCCTTGGATAAAAGCTCTTACAGCTGAAATACCAAATATTCTCAAATTTATTTGACCCAAGAATCTTAACATTAATTAAAGAGGCACATGTTGAATGCTGTAATGATCAGGATACGGTTGTGCCTCTTTAAGAGATCTGTTTTTACAAGTTTTTAATATCTCGTTTTTAATTTCATATAGTTTTTAAGTCTTTAATATGGGAACAGGCTCTAAAGCTATTATATTCAAGTAGCTTATAATTAAATTATTACTGTATTATTGATAAAATTGACACTCTACTTAAAGTGGTAGCAAAGACTAAGACAGTGTAAAATGTTGAAAGCAATCTTGTCAAAAACAATGCCTATGTTTTCCTTACAATCCTACATTTTCTGAAAATGGGATATCTGAAATAGTACTATAGAAGTTATTGAAGTTTTAAAATGCAGAAATGACCAAATGCTTCAGAAATACATGGAAAAGATGGGTCATAATACTTAGAGTCTACATCATTTTCAAAACATCATCAGTATCCCCATATATATTTCAGTCGATGATTGTACTAATTGATGTATAACCTGTCAACTTACAGCCCCCAACAATATGGCATACAATAAGGGACAAGGTCAATATCAATGCACACCCACGCACATAATTACAGTTATCATATTTGAGGTGCAGGGTGTAAAATGTAAAAATGTAAACATGTTTTTTAATAATGTGAAGTACTTTTAATTTTAAAGAAATGTTCAATATATTTTTGGGGGAGGAGGGGGGATCAATCTGAAGTTATCAAATGTGCAGTGAAACAATACAATATTGACCTAATCTCTAAAACCCATCTTGTACTAACACTAAGGGCATAGCAAAAGTGTTTACATTAAGTCCCATCCAGAAATCAGAGCAAAGAATTAACATGCAAAATGTTATCCCCTACCATTTGTTACAAATGCCGAACGCCAGATAATTAACCACCAAAACCATCCACAAAAGTTAGAGGAGACTATAACAAACAAAATGTCACCACTTCTGGTGGTGACATAATAAAACCATACATCCAAGTTGAACAAACTTGAAGCAAATGAAAAGCAGATCATAACTATCATAACACCCATCTTCTTCCAGAAATAATTAATTCAAGAAAATTATTCTATGGTCTATTGCCCCAATAGACTATAGAATAATTATCTATGTACATGTATTATATCTTTATATACTTTGTAATGGAACACCTCCGTAAGTGGAATGCTCCTGTACCCAATTGAGTATTGACTTATTGTTGAATGAACCTCTGAAAGTGGAACAGCTCCCAAGTCAAACACTTTTTAGAGGTACAAAAGGTTATCCAGTTATAATTGGCATGTCTAGTTATACTCAATGAGCCCATATGTCAGGTAATTGATACATTCATTAGCACCCATGTTAACAGTAACATGTTGCCCATGTTAAACTAACATGTTAAAGTGCAACATGTAATCAGAGATCCAACACTTTAAATATTTGAGCAATATTTGCAATAATTGACCAACATGTTCTTCACCATCTCAAATATAATTGTTATAACAAAATGAAGTTATTTGAGATTCAAAATCTAGAATCCATATTCATAGAAAATGTATAAGTAAATGTTAAAATCAGTGGTTTCTTTATAGTAAATGTGGAATTGTGGATATCCAGTTATTCACATTTATGGAAGATGTATCCATAAATGTTAATCGTTGGTTTACCCTTGAATAAAGTATGAACTTTTGAGACTTTTAGAAAAAATAAAATTGAGACCATTTTTCAAATAATAACTGGCTACCTGATTCTCTGATAACCTAAAATCTTAACTCATATTTGTAATATACTTGATATGATACTGTGATCTGCAATTCGCACCACCAATACCAAGAGTTTGTTACAATTTACCAAAATCTGATGCACAATATCTTTCTTGAGGATGTATTCTCCCTTCACAAGGACAGAATTCCTCCGTTTCTCTATATTCCTCATCATCCTCCTGTCCACATACACTTTGTAACAAATGTACTATATATACTATATACAAACTTTTGTCCACACTAATCTTCATACCAAAATTTTAAGATAATTTCTGAAACTCCTATCAACATGGATGTTATCAATTTTATATTTTTGAATCATCTCTTGGTGGTTTGATAAATATTCCTTTGTGATTAAAGCCTAATTATGATCAGAATCAAGCATTCTGTTGTCTTGATCATTACACTGTTTTCCATGTGTCTGCATATATCGTATCCTTCGAGTTGAGGTTCTCTACTTTTCTAACATTGAAATGAGTATGTTGTTATATTGGCTGGATAAAGCCATGTATCTTAGTAAACTGTCACCTAAATGGCCTTACTGGCTTACACTGCAAGGCATTATCAACAGAAACAATTTGTCTCTTAATTTCAAATGTTTTACTTTAATGTGACATAAAGGCTGGTAGACTTCAAGCCAATTAAAAGGTACAAAGCTCAATAAACACATCAAATGACTGAAAAACATCAAAAGATCTGTCTTCCAACATTTAAACTTATGCCAATTTTCTTTCATTATACAATTTGATCTAATAATTTCTTCAGTAAAAGGAATCATTTATCATAAATTGATGCATAAAGTTGAATAATATTCATTTACTACCAATATTTGGTTATCTATTTTTCTGACTTTATGCTTTCATTCACATTGCCATTGGACTTCAACTGTACACATTTTACGAAGGCTAATGGGTCATCAATTTATTCATTTTGCTGATAAAATCACTCATGAATGACAAATTCTATGAAAGGCATAAGCATATCTTGGATTTTCCTAGATTGAGAATTAAGAGCAATTATTACTGAGCAAAATATGTTTTTAGTGATTGTGACATCACAATCAAAAATTGTATATTCATTTTATTATTAAAGCCAATTAAATTCCCCATCTTTGGACATACATGTACTCATACACATAGCTTCTATCAATGTGATCCTTTTGAAGAATGATACACAGTGTCCCATGTTTATGACATACACATACTGGCAATTAATGATTTTCAAAATTAAGGTTGGTCAAGAAGAATGTTTAATCTTGCTTATCTGAAGTGATCCTTTTACATGTATGCTACAATATGTATTACTATGTAAACCAATCTGCCTACCTTGAGAAACCGCTTATTTTGGATATTACTTTCAGGTACAGTAATCTTTCTTCTGCATTCATTAAAATAATTTTGGTTCTTCTTACTTACTTGTCATTTATTTAATTGAAATACTGTTAGTAGTTAATAGGTATCACTTCAGTGAATATGTTCCTTAGGAAGAGATTACATGGTGATGGTATATCACAGATTAAACCCCACTTAGTAGCAATACAATAGAATTAACTGTAGTTTATTTTAAAGAATTTACAGTTGTATCAAAAGAAAAATCCATTCTCTTTCTATTGTTTTTAAAGAAATGACACTTCGCAAGCTATCAAAAACCAATGTGGCAAAAAAGACAATTAATAGTTTTTGATAGTGTTCATCATTTAAGAACAATATACCAATGTACATTTATTCTTCTTTTGTTATTGTTCATTCTTTGAAATAAAACAATTAAATAACAATTAATTAATTTGTGCTGCTACCTAGAGTATTGATCCAAGTTAACTCAGTCAATAGTTCAATAGAAAATACAAAAGAAATCAAATTTTACACTACATACATGGCCTGTTACATGCAGTGCACTGAACGAATTATAGTCATTGTGAGGTTTAAGTGAGATAAACAATATCGGCCCTTGGCTATTATTTCTCCTAGTTCCCAGGGCTTATTGTTTATCCATTACTTAAACTGGTGGATCCAAATAGTGATTAGTTCCTTTTAGCTGATTGTCCCGAAAATACATGGTCCTTGGAAACTCCATAACATCAGAATAACTTCAAGGGGTTTAATCTAATAAGCATTATGTCCTCATATACATAAATGAGTAAACAGTCGTGCTATAAAACTTCAAATTGAGATACATAAAGTTGAGTCACTTCCTGTGGAGTAAAGTTTTGGTCTAATTTTACAGCAATATTACTAGTATTCCCTGTCCTTGCTTGCTTTTTGTATTCTTTGTCTCTTTCTCGTTCATTTTCCCTAGCAACCCAATTTCTTTGTCGCGCTAATCTCCGTCTCATTTTATCTTTCTCCCGTTCTAATTGTCTATATGCAGGGTCCTTTCTTTTAGATGCCATCCTTGCTTTAGCCTCTATGCGTTCCTTGTCTCTGCAATTAAAAGATCACCATATATTGGAAGCACAAAGCATTATGTGAACAAGGTTAAATGACGAATTTAGATAAAAGCGAGTGGCTGATAAGGAGCAATGATGAAGATTGCATCGATGAGATGTCAATGTAACCATTTGAATAGTTGATTATATATAGATGTCATTTGATGGGAGGGATTTTGGCCAATATTGGATCAAGTACAGCATCTGATACAGGATTTTGGCTGACATAGGATCTGAATATCAATTCTATTCCCTGTTCATTTCCCAGGGAAAACATGTTATGGAATAAACGCTTACATTCACTCAGATGAATTGAACATCTGTAAAAATTACCCACTGACCTGAAAGAAGGATCCTGTCTGAGTTGTCTTTTCTTTATTTTGTCACGTTCTCTTTTCAAAACATTTCTTTTAGCACAATAATAATCCTCTACAGTCTCTTGGCTGTCCATGTAGAGTTTTACATCCTCTCTGGACCATATGTCTCCCTCCTCTATATATCCCTGGGTAGAGTCAGGAAGAGTGCTTGGGCCAATGTCTGTAGAACCTCCATCCCCAGGGAACTCCACATAGGATTCAATACTATCATTTGTAATATCACTGCTGAAAAATAGTTTACTCTGTCGATTATGTGGAGAAGAATGTCTTATTGACATTTTTTTGTTTTCTGGGTAACTGCATCTTTGAGAAATAGTGCAAACATCTTAGAATGATCTTTCTGATCTCTTACCCTTTTACCATTTTTGGATTCATTGATCTCATAAATCCCACAAACTTTTCAGGTTTTTTAATTAGTTTATACCAGGTTTTTTCAACTCCTCCTAAGAAAAAATCAAGAAAATCAAATAATTCAAATAAATCTGACAAATTTTGTGCAAGTGAAATTGCAATCACAGAAGTACACACACATCCAGAATTTTTTTTATTTTGGTTCCCAGAATTTTTCCCTTGAATTTATCATTTTGTGCTGAAAATTGCAGAACTCTGACTTCGGAAACGGATTTGTTATTTGACCCAACGGTAAAGCATCACTATTCCCTGTGGATAAAATAGTCAAAAATTTGAATCATACTTTCAGTGATTGATTTTATAGTACCTGTTTGGTATGTTGATAGTTTTCATCTCTCCATTCTCTTGTATCTCTATCTGTAAGCCTTGCACCTCTGACTGCTCACAAATCTGGCCATTGTGTGTAGAAGGCTCACCCGCCTCCTCATATGTACTGTCTGCCTTACTTTGTACTATCAGGTCATCTGCAACAGTTACATTTAGTTACAACAGTTACAATAGTTACATTATGTTAACTGACTTGATCCCAACACAATGAACTAGACAGCAAGTCTGGTGGTGACATAAATAATACTAGAAAAATACTAATAGTGAGCATATTGAAGGCTAGGCATGTATAGAGAGGTGGGGATGGTTCCATCCATACACAACTATTTGAAGACCTTTCAGAAGAATCCATTTAAAATGGATTGGACTTGAGTAATGTACCTATAATTATCTGTATATCTTGCTGGTTGAGCTCCGTGCCTTGCCTCTCTGTGCCATTTGTACCTTCTGTCCCACTTGCTACAACCTGCTCTTCTGTACCAGAGGTAATGACAACTGTCTCTTCCATAACATCAGGGACCTCATTCTCAACAATACATACATAATCTGGAGGGAAGAGAAGGATGCTTATATTGATGTATCACACAAATAAATGGATATTACAAAAATGTAACAAGATCTTATAAAAAAAACTATTTTCCAAAAGATATTCCTGAGACTGAATAACATGTGTTTTAAAAAAAGAAAGTCCATTTCATTTCTAATGAACTTTGTTTACTGGGATAACAAATGTCAATGATGGTAATAGTTATTGGTCAATTGTAGATATACTTGTATACATCAAGCATTTTAGTAGATTTTCTATATAATATGCCTACCCTATTATAAATAACCACATAAAATATTAACAGAAATTTAACTTCCAGACATACTATTACTTGGATATCCGAGCTTTCATCCAGACAGATGAAGCCATTCTCTATAAATATCTCTCAAATTCATCCTCCCTTAATTATTGCTGAGTGTATAAGCATGGGCTTTCAAGATCTCTTTGAAACCCCATGGTATAAGCAAGCCTACCTTCCTGATTTGGCCCATGGTCACATGCCTCAGCAGATGATGATGGTGGATATACAATCTTAACAATGTTGTCTTTGCCTATCACATATTGTGGGACTGGAGTGTTACTTTCTTCGCTCATACTTCTATAAGGATACTGAAATAACAATAGTTATACTTGGTATAATCCATTTGTCTAATTCAATTCTATCGCAAATTTGGTTGACAACGATACATGTCTTAGCTTGGGTAATTTTTTTTGGGGGGGGTTCTAATTCATGCATGCATCTCCTCTTGACCCTAGCATGAACACCATTTCACCTTTGTCTCTGACTCAAAAAGAACACTCCATCACAGCCTAGACTGATCAAGAAAATTATATTAAATAAATGGTGTGCACTGTGCAGTGGCCTTAGAATCATTTAAAGTCTTTGAGTGTCTTTATTCACATTTTCTGCTGAAGTTATTTTCTGGTTCAAAACAATGTATGAAAACATGGGTTAATATATTTTCTTTTTCAAACAAGTATCATTGTGTACTTTTGATAAATCTGGGAAGAGGCCAATGCCAACTCAGTGAAATGCTGATATTTCAAGAGAAAACATTCAAAGCGGCCACTGTTACAACGTTCTCCTCATTTACTGTAGTTTCTCAACAATGTTAAATTACTTACAATTTATTCTAATTCACTTAACCCTTAGATGCGACAAGGATACTTCCATGAACAACAAATGAAATATGGTAATTCATTTATGATGCTTAATCTGAAGCAGACAGTAATGTGCAGAAATATTGATTTTTTTGAAAATGTGAATATAGGTAGACATGAAGGACAGGGTGCATGTTGGGAAATTTTCTGCATTCCTCAATTGAGTCACATGTTATTTTTCAAACAAGAATAACTCCTTCCCCACATTGTCTACATCTTCCAAGTTTGCACAAAGATTGCACTTATGTGCCTAGAAAAGCCTTGTGAGAAGGTTTGCTTTGTAAAATGTATAAAAAATGAGAAAATTCAGTGAAAAAAAATTCTGAAAATTTTCTGATTTTTTTCACTGAATTTTCTTGTTTTTTATACACTTTATCAAAACATTCTTCTCACCAGTCTTTTCTAGGCACACAAGTGCACTCTTTGTGGAAAACTGGAAGATATAGACAATGTAGGGAAGGAGTGATTCTTGTTTGAAAAATAACATGTGACTCAATTGAGGAATGCAGAAAATTTCCCATCATGCACCCTGACCTTAACCCAACAGCTTGGAGCAGTCTCAGATCTGAGAAATTAGTTCAGGGCACGAGGTCGTTGTTTTAAGATGAGAATTTACCTACATGTACTTTATGATTAATAAGTTTGTATTGCATGTTGATGTTATAGAGTACATGTGTATACTCTATCGATGATAGATCAAAAATCTCCAATATTGAGATTCCACCCTTGAGATTCTTTCATCTCAGGAACTAAAATTTTTCAAAATGTATCCGTTTTGATGGCTATTTGATTTCCTAAGGTCCTAGTCTGACATAATTTTGATAATAACATTTTTTTCTACAATTTTTGACTGAGTCAGTGAGTTTCAAAATTATAATCTAGATATACCAAAAACATAGTAATACTGAATCATATTACAAGAAAAACCATTGTGTATTAGAAGAAATTAATATCAGAGATTATGTATATACAATTGATATTGAAGTTACTTACCTCTAAACCATATAATACATTGTAAATGTAAAATGTAAATGAAAAAATAAAAACAAGATGTAGGTCAATACTAGGTACGGCTTCACATCCAGTCTAGTATTCTGAAATTTGATTGGCTCATCATTCATGACACGACACAAACTACAAAAATCAAAATATCCTGGCGTGGCAAGTGATCTTTAAATTCAGTTCAGGATGCAGAGATATCGACATAACAGAGGTGAGAATAAAACCAAACTCGTATCCTTTGTATACTAAAATATTTGCGCATTTGTATTGCATCATAGTGTGAAGTGACAAAGAAGAAAATGTCATCAAATATTAGTTTTAGAAATGGGACTCAATGTTTTTTGAAAAAATTTTGGGCCCCTAAAACCCAAAAGTGGGCCCAAATTTTTAAAATGTAATGACCAAAAAGGCCCACTTTTTGGGGCCTTATAAGGCCTTTTTTGACCCAAAATTTTTTAGGCCCAATTATTTTTCTGGGCCCACCCAAAGGGGGGGGGGGGGGGGCAGATCCGCCATTGCATTGGATTGGAGTTTTCAAACGCCGATGATTTGACAAGTGTCCACTGTTACTGTATCAGATATTCAAATTCAATGACCACTTATTTTAATATGTTGTCAAACAGCAGGGTTCTCACCAGGAAATTTTTAGACCCCGGATTTTTAACGGTATTGTGATTACTTTTTTTCGCAGTATTGGGAGAATCTCCGGAGTCTAAAAGCCTAGTGAGAACCCTGAACAGAGCATTCAATAGTCCAGCCAAATTACAAGCGCTTTCGGATATTTGTTTTATCAGTTTTGTTTTATTGAATTATGATTTTTTCTTCTGAATTACCCCCAATGCACACATCAAAGTGTTTTGAAATCTGGAAGTTTGCAGATTTTTTTGGGCTGATTTGGAAGCTGTCATAGATGGCATTCAGTGTTTCTTCAAAATCATTTGGCCCTATAATAGTAAGAAGATCTGCAACACAAATAACAATAATTGTTTTTTAGTTACCCGATTCCGGCCTACATGTACATGTTGTTTAGCTTGTTTTGTCATCTATTATCTGGATAGATGTATTCATAAGACTACTGTAGCGCTGAGAGTATCTCTTTGCTTAGAAATAATAAACTGATTGTCTTTTTTATGAGTTTTTCTGTTCAGTGTATCAAAAAGCAAGAGTGTTCTGGTAGGCTTGAAAATCCTTGTTACGTCATGAATAACCCTTGGAATCACATGTCCTTGAAATTATTTATAAAGCTAGCCCTACACCAATGGGACAGGATGAGACATCAGGGGAGTTGTTGAGTAAAATATTTTCAGGGGACATGAAGGGACAAGTTTGGACATTCCCAAGGGACATCAGGGGACATTGTCCCAAGTTGTCCCGGAGACATTGTCTGACTTTGTCTGATTTTGTCCCTTATGTCCCGAGAAAAAAATGAACATGTTGATTCTTTTCTTGGGATATTACTGCACAAATGAGGGGCATTTCATCACATGATGATCATATGACCATTTTCTGACAAAATGGCGGTATATTCCAGATATCATCGGACAAAATGGGACAACGTGGAACATTGTTCCATGATGTCCGGGGGACAAGAACTGATTAGTTGGGACAAAGTCGGACATTGTCCTATCAGTGTACGGCTAGCTTCAATCTTCTACTTACTGTCCAAGTTACACTTGTCGGGTTGGAGTCAGTGATTGGTAAGACATGTGCTACATGTACAAGTTCGAATCTTGGGCGGATGACACATGTTATAATTTTTGGTTTTTTTTCTCCAGAACACATTTTTGATTGCTTGCTACATGACATCTAGTCATATTTTGTACTTTAGAGGGTTTCACAATATAGATGAAACAATGATATGCTGCTTTAGATTAATTTAGATTAAATCTGACTTTAGATTTTAGATTTGACCTTCAGTGACCTTCTCAAGGTCAAAAAGGTCTTTTATCAACTTGTTTCGAATTAACCAATTCTTTTTTTAAATCATCTACAAGTTTTCAGAAGTTCAAATCTGACTAAAGATTTCAAAGTTCACCTTCTCAAAGAAAACAAGTGAGTGATTGCAAAAGTTCAACATAGAGCTAAGAATGTCAAAAAGGTCTTTTGTCAACTTGCCTCAAATTGACTATTTTTCTTTTCAAAATCATCTACAAGTTCTCAGAAGTTCAAATCTGACTAAAGATTTTAAAGTTGACCTTCTCAAGGAAAACAAGTGAGTGATTGCAAAAGTTCACCATAGAGCTAAAAATGTCAAAAAGGTCTTTTGTCAACTTGCCTCAAATTGACTATTTTTCTTTTCAAAATCATCTACAAGTTCTCAAAAGTTCACATCTGACTTAAGATTAAACTCATATATTGTGAGCAACTAGGTGGTGACATTTTGTCCGTTCAGATATTGAAATTTGAATTGTAAATCATCTATTGCCTCATTTTTATCAGTTTATCTTTTTCAGATATTGAAATTTGAATTATAAAACACCCATTAATTTGCTTCATTTTTATTTAACTCTCCCTTGCTACCACTAAATCAATACATTTTAGTATTGAAACTGAAAAACATAAAACATTGCAGGGGTTTCATAAGCAGCAGCCAATACTAGTAGGCACTTGTTGTTTTTATCAAAATGACTCCTGTCGCTCTGCAACTGTTTCCATAAACATATTAAAACATATTTACCAATAATTTTGCCTAATGTTTTCATTTTTCTGTAATCAGAAAATGTAAGGAAACCCCTGCATTGATGTGGATAGTATAAGTTATCAAAAATATCAGTGTCCTTGGAATATGAGATGGACTTATATAATGACCATTGAATACTTTTTGAAAGTTGGTTTCAAAATACACTGAACATGTAGTAAAGACACATTGTCATGAAGGTGTCATCATGAATATCAAGGATATTAGAAAATAATGGTGCAAAATTGACATGCACATTCCTTGAGCTTTTTGACCACACTGTTTTATGCATTTACACTATGTTTTGGCAGGGATTGTCAATTATTTACTATGTTCGTTATTGCTTAACTGCAAGAGGAAGCTGGCCAAATCCACAATACGTACATGTACAGCACATGTTTATTGCCAATAAAGACTGAATCATGCATGATATATCTGTTGATAGCATGAGTCAATTCTTCTTTCAACATACAGTTCATACTTTATAATGGATCAAACTTCCGTAAGTTTGAAGTTTCATAAATGCCAAAATATGATAATTGGTTTCAAAATGGGCTTTCAATGAAAGCCCATAGTTTCGATAACAATTTCTTTCACTATTCAGTATAATAATGATTGCTTTGAAAAACATTGCTATATTATAGATATCGTATATCGTATAAAGTTAGTTTATTAATCAGTTACTGTAGATGTCATAATTTATGCAGAGGTAAATTTTCATGCCTTTTATATTTTCATTAATTTCGCATGTTTATATTTTCGTATTGTATATTACAGAGAAAGCTTTCTTGTTCTTCAAGTTATTTACATGTACATGTCCAAACATTTTCCATTATACTTAGATTAGAATTCCCACATTGATTTTGGAACCTCAGCTTCTATTGTTCTCCTCAATCTTTCGAACTGTTTAGTGTCAGCCTCCCAATCATCTTTGAATTCAAGACAGAAGTTTGGAATATAACCCGGCACCACATCTCGTCTTTTTACTCCAATCACAAGTGGAATAAGTCTTGCTAGCTCTCCCGAATTAACCAGAAGACGGAATATTGTCTCCATCACAAATATTGTGAATTTATCTTCCTTGAAATCCGTGTCAAATACCACAATGAAATATTTGCTTTTCTTTAACGCATCTGTTAGCTCGCTGAGGGAGTCTTTAATCTTTGAGTCTCTCCAAGGGAGGTAGCCACGCTGTCCCTGCTCCTCTAGTTTTCCCATGATGAATAGTGCTTTTTTTCGTGACCCCTCAGACTTCTCATTGCAGATCAACCAGAAGTCATTTTCATACTTCACCATTTGGCCCTTTAATGTCTCAACGTAAGACGAGATTACTCCTAAAAAAGAAAATATTGAATTCATTTTTCAGTGGTTTGTGTAGTATTGAATGAACAACATAATTTATTTAAGTTGTAGAATCATTGAATTGCATATAAATAATCTTTAATCTTACTGTTTCAATAAAAAGTCGCTGCTTTAGAATGTATCTTATTATACGATATGTTTTCCACTTTGGATTGGTGCATTTTTGTGCATTACAGGGTGGTATCGTATAGGTGGAACACTACAACTTTTAATATACATATGTAATGATTATCTTCTATGCCAAAATATTCTACTAATATTCTATTTAATCTATTCCATTAAAAATTAAACTTCTTTATCTTAGTTTTTTATCATTGATATTGTTGATATTACATACAGCAAACAGAATAACATGTAGAATAGTATACAAATAGGCAGTCACTATTTGTTTTATTATATACCCTATACTGACTATTGTCCCGTTTCCTCTGCGAAGGCCAAAAAGGTTTAGAAAGCCCCCTCCCCGGGTCCATTGTTAGCATTATAAGCTGTGACGTCATCAGATGCTCAACAGAAATTTTTGCCTCTGAGACTCTCACTTGACAAATTCAATGGCGTTTAACACGTGGAATAGATTATCATAACACTTGAAATTACACAGACGTATTGAGTTTAGGGAACTTTATCCACCTTGCTTATATTGTATCGTTCACGCACGTCTGTCATGGTGAACGGAGTTGATTTGTGTTTGTGCTCATCCTCCATTTTTCTATTTTTCGTCTGCGCAGTGATGATGCGCAGACGTTTCCAAGGGTAATAGAAGTTGCAATCGTGACGTCAGCGGGCAATAGTTCAAATGTATATTCCCGCTGACGTCACATTTGAGGGAATATAACTTTCCGAGGGAAATAGTAAATCTATTTCGGAACACGTGACTAGGTATTGACCAATCAGGATTAGTGTTACATATTGGGTATATAATAATGAGCATTGTCAAACAGGAAGGGAAAATGTTTAAAGTTAGTAATTACATGTACATATATAAACGTATACTATAGTGTATCACCTTGTAATCATAATGTGTAACAGTTTCGAAAGGATTTCGGTATTGGTTTCAGTTTCAGAAGTCTGATGGTGTATATACAGTAAACAGTATACAACATATAAAATTGTTCATACACAAGATTAAACATGTCAGACATGTAAAGTTAATGATAACAACAGAAATGGAAGGCATTTTAAAGACATACATGTAAATAAGGATATGACTTTTCATATAGGCGCAGGTAGCAATAAGCTGCTTATACATGTATGTATGACCCCAGAATCTGTCAGGGAACACCATAATTACTTTCATTGGCCTCTAAATGGCTGAGGATTTTAGAATTGATTCAAGTATTGCTGAGACGGTTGTGAAAGTTGAAATGGCAAAAAATCAAACAAATGACTGTTGTATACTGTTTCTGCTGCAGGGTATGTCAAGCCGCGTCATCAAAGATGGCAGCAGCGTGGTATCGCCTACATAGAGGACGATGATGACTGTATGGACAACTTCTGTATTGGGGTCAGTGCACTCTCCATTCCAGACCAGACAGAAACCTCCAGAAACCTTAGAGAGGCAATCAAGGATGGGGACATTGCTGCTGTAATTAACATTGCCAAACAGGGTGCCAATGTGTCCAGGTTGGTATCAGGTATAAAAGGGATATGTACTCGGTCAGATGAATCAAGGGTCCCTCCATAAAAAAGGCAGAAAAATTCTAGGGTATACTCAGGTTAAGTAAAATCATGTAATTAAAGGGGCAGACTCAAGATGATATTTGTAAAGCAGACATACATGTATAATGTACCATGTACAATGTAAATTTGTGAAATTTAAGATTAGGGGTAAAAGACAGTGTTAATTGAAGGAATGGAAACATGGTCAGGCCTTTTATCTTGGTGAGATACTTGTAAATTAAAAATGAGGTCGATATTAAATTTTTACAACATAACATTAATGTTAAACGGCTTATACATGTACAGTACATGTACATATAACATATATAATAGACATACATGTATGACAGACAGATGTGTCATTGTTGTTCTAGATTTGTGACATGTTCATGTGAAGACTGTCTCTACAATGATGGATGTCCTGCTTCTCTACACCTCCAACCTACCACCCCTCTCATTATGTCCATAGTAGAGTCCAAAACAGACATTGCAGCAGAGTTGCTGAAGTATGGAGCTGACCCAAATATAACTAATGGTACAGTTTATTGTGTAACGATCATAGCAATTGTACTATACTGTGAAGTATCTACAGGGTGTCAAATAAATATGTTCGACCCCTTAATTTCAGTATGAACTTTTATGCATAAAGGTGCATCTACTTGAGCTAGTCATCTGAAACTTTCTTTGAGAGTTACTCCATGAAGCCTAGATTTTATGTGCTAAAGAATAATTCAGATAACTTGCAGACAAGACATTTATGCAACATTATGTGGATGTTAAAGTTACAGAGGGAGAACATATTTATTTGACACACTGTATTTATTGCTGTTATTTTCATATTTGTTAGCCTCAATTATCTCTATTCTTAATATTATTAGGAGGCCCTCCTGAAAGGGCCTCCTATAGCTTTTGTAGCTTTTCTTTATTATTCTTCTTATTCTTATTCTATCAAAGCATTTTTCTCCTACTTCCAACTAGCTTTCAACTACCTACTATATGATCCTACTAGGAACCTTGGCTGAAATTGGGGGGAAAATATTTTTTATCTAGGTCAAGGTCAAAGGTCAAAATCTAGGTCAAATCTAAGTTTTTCTTCAAGTTTCTCAAGTTTGTCATTATACTTCATTATTTCTTGCGATGAATTAAACTGAAACTACATTTAAGTATTCTCTACAAATTGTTCACTATATGTCAGCATTAAATTTTTACCGTTTTTGAGATATTTGACGTCAAAAAACGGTCAAAAGAGGTCATTTTTCAACTTGCTTCAATCTGACCCAATTTTTTTTCAAAATCATCTACAAAATCCCAGGAGTCCAAATCTGACTTCAGATTTGACCTTTCACCTTTAGTTGACCTTCAGTGACCTTCGAAAGGTCAGAAAAGTTGATTTTTCAAATTGAGTCTTTGGATTCAAATTTAAGTCAGTCTAATTACAAAAAGCCTACTGAGGTCTAAAAAAGTAAAAATTTCAAGGTCAAAGGTCAAGGTCATCAAATTAGGTCACAAACTGTGCTATCTAAGTTTCTCATAGTTCAAGACTACAAATCAATATTATTAATTGAAAGTCAACATATACATTTCTCTAAGGGTTCTACACATATTAGCAATTGACTATCTATTAAAATTTTGTCCCAGTTTTGAGATATAAGAGCTCAAAAACTGAAAAAGGTCAATTTTCGAAATTTTTAATGTCAAATTTTAACTTGCTTCAAATCGACCAATCTTTTTTTTCAAAATCATCTACAAGTTGTCAAAAGTTCACATCTGACCCCAAATTTGGCATTTGACCTTTAGTTGACCTTCAGTGACCTTCAAAAGGTCAGAAAAGTTGATTTTTAGATTGAGGTTTTTGATTCAATTTTTTTTTAAATTAAAAGTTCTCAGGAGTTTAAATCTGACCTCAAATTTGAGGTTTCACCTTTGGTTGACCTTCAAATTATTAAAAATGCCTAAAAGGGCCTCCGTGAGATTGCTTGCAATCTTAAAAATCTAGTTATTAGGAGGCCCTCCTGAAAGGGCCTCCTATAGCTTTTGTAGCTTTTCTTTATTAGGAGGCCCTCCTGAAAGGGCCTCCTATAGCTTTTGTAGCTTTTCTTTATTAGGAGGCCCTACTGAAAGGGCCTCCTATAGCTTTTGTAGCTTTTCTTTATTCTTCTTATTCTTATTCTTATTCTATCAAAGCATTTTTCTCCTACTTCCAACTAGCTTTCAACTACTTACTATATGCTCCTACTAGGAACCTCGGCTGAAATTGGGGGGAAAGAAATTTTTATCTAGGTCAAGGTCAAAGGTCAAAATCTAGGTCAAATCTAAGTTTTTTTTCAAGTTTCTCAAGTTTGTCATTATACTTCATTATTTCTTGCGATGAATTAAACTGAAACTACATTTAAGTATTCTATACAAATTGTTCACTATATGTCAGCATTAAATTTTTACCGTTTTTGAGATATTTGACCTCAAAAAACGGTCAAAAGAGGTCATTTTTCAACTTGCTTCAATCTGACCAATTTTTTTTTCAAAAATCATCTACAAGTTCTCAGGAGTCCAAATCTGACTTCAGATTTGACCTTTGACCTTTAGTTGACCTTCAGTGACCTTCGAAAGGTCAGAAAAGTTGATTTTTCAAATTGAGTCTTTGGATTCAAATTTAGGTCAGTCTAATTACAAAAACCCTACTGAGGTCTAAAAAAGTAAAAATTTCAAGGTCAAAGGTCAAGGTCATCAAATTAGGTCACAAACTGTGCTATCTAAGTTTCTCATAGTTCTAGACTACAAATCAATATTTTTAATTGAAAGTCAAGATATACATTCCTCTAAGGGTTCTACACATATTAGCAATTAACTATTTATTAAAATTTTGTCCCAGTTTTGAGATATAAGAGCTCAAAAACTGAAAAAGGTCAATTTTTCAAAGTTTATAAGGTCAAATTTTAACTTGCTTCAAATTCACCGTACTTTTTTTTTAAAATCATCTACAACTTCTCTGGAGTTCATATTTAACCTCAGATTTGACATTTGACCTTTAGTTCACCTTCAGTGACCTTCGAAAGGTCAGAAAAGTTGATTTTTCAAATAGAGTTTTTGGGTTCAAATTTAGGATAAGCCTAATCATAAAAGACCCACTGAGCTCTAAAACAGTAAAATTTTCAAGGTCAAGGGTCACGGTTATCAAATTAGGTCAAAGGTCAAAATCTAGGTCAAATCTGTATTTTTTTCAAGTTTCTCAACTTTGTCCTTATACTTCATTATTTCTTGCGATGAATTAAACTGAAACTACATTTTAGTATTTTCTACAAATTGTTCACTAGATGTCAGCATTAAATTTTTACCGTTTTTGAGATATTTGACGTCGAAAAACGGTCAAAGAAGTCATTTTTCAACTTGCTTCAATCTGACCAATTTTTTTGTTAAAAATCATCTACAAGTTCTCAGGAGTTCACATCTGACTTCAGATTTGATATTTGTCCTTTAGTTGACCTTCAAATTGTCAAAAATGCCTAAGAGGGCCTCCGTGAGATTGCTTGCAATCTTAAAAGTCTAGTTCTTATTCTTTATTAGGAGGCCCTCCTGAAAGGGCCTCCTATAGCTTTTGTAGCTTTTCTTTATTCTTATTCTTCTTCTTATTCTTCTTATTCTTATTATTCTATCAAAGCATTTTTCTCCTACTTCCAACTAGCTTTCAACTACCTACTATATGATCCTACTAGGAACCTTGGCTGAAATTGGGGGGAAAATATTTTTTATCTAGGTCAAGGTCAAAGGTCAAAATCTAGGTCAAATCTAAGTTTTTTTTCAAGTTTCTCAAGTTTGTCATTATACTTCATTATTTCTTGCGATGAATTAAACTGGAACTACATTTAAGTATTCTCTACAAATTGTTCACTATATGTCAGCATTAAATTTTTACCGTTTTTGAGATATTTGACGTCAAAAAACGGTCAAAAGAGGTCAATTTTCAACTTGCTTCAATCTGACCAATTTTTTTTTTAAAAATCATCTACAAGTTCCCAGGAGTCCGATTCTGACTTCAGATTTGACCTTTGACCTTTAGTTGACCTTCAGTGACCTTCGAAAGGTCAGAAAAGTTGATTTTTCAAATTGAGTCTTTGGATTCAAATTTAGGTCAGTCTAATTACAAAAAACTTACTGAGGTAAAAAAAGTAAAAATTTCAAGGTCAAAGGTCAAGGTCATCAAATTAGGTCACAAACTGTGCTATCTAAGTTTCTCATAGTTCAAGACTACAAATCAATATTTTTGATTGAAAGTCAAGATATACATTTCTCTAAGGGTTCTACACATATTAGTCATTGACTATTTATTAAAATTTTGTCCCAGTTTTGAGATATAAGAGCTCAAAAACTGAAAAAGGTCAATTTTTCGAAGTTTATAAGGTCAAATTTTAACTTGCTTCAAATTCACCCAACTTTTTTTTAAAAATCATCTACAACTTTTCAGGAGTTCATATTTAACCTCAGATTTGACATTTGACCTTTAGTTGACCTTCAGTGACCTTCGAAAGGTCAGAAAAGTTGATTTTTCAAATTGAGTTTTTGGATTCAAATTTAGGGGAAGCCTAATCATAAAAGACCCACTGAGCTCTAAAACAGTAAAATTTTCAAGGTCAAGGGTCACGGTTATCAAATTCGGTCAAAGGTTAAAAATTAGGTCAAATCTAAATTTCATTATTTCTTGCGATGAATTAAACTGAAACTACATTTTAGTATATTCTACAAATTGTTCACTATATGTCAGCATTGAATTTTTACGAGTTTTGAGATATTTGACGTCGAAAAACGGTCAAAAAAGGTCATTTTTCAACTTGCTTCAATCTAACCAAATTTTTTTTTAAAAATCATCTACAAGTTCCCAGGAGTCCGAATCTGAATCTCATATTTGACCTTTGACCTTTAATTGACCTTCAATGACCTTCGAAAGGTAAGAAAAGTTGATTTTTCAAATTGAGTCTTTGGATTCAAATTAGGTCAGCCTGATTACCAAAGACCTACTGATGTCTAAAAGGGTAAAACTTTTCAAGGTCAAAGGTCAAGATCATGAAATTAGGTCACAAACTGTGCTATCTAAGTTTCGCAAAGTTCGAGACTACAAACTAATATTTTTAACCCGAAGTCGAAATATACACATTCCTCTAAGGGTTCTACACATATTAGCAATTGACTATTTAATAGAATTTTGTCCCAGTTTGAGATATAAGAGTTCAAAAGTTGAAAAAAGGTCAATTTCGAAATTTATCAAGGTCAAATTTAAACTCGCTTCAAATTGACAAAATCTTTTTTTGAAAATCATCTACAAGTTCTCAGGAGTTCACATCTGACCTCAGATTTGATATTTGTCCTTTAGTTGACCTTCAAATTGTCAAAAATGCCTAAGAGGGCCTCCGTGAGATTGCTTGCAATCTTCAAAAGTCTAGTTCTTTATTCTTATTCTTATTATTAGGAGGCCCTCCTGAAAGGGCCTCCTATAGCTTTTGTAGCTTTTCTTTATTCTTCTTTCTTCTTTATTCTTCTTCTTAT